GTTACATTACCCTTGATCATGCCCTACTAGGCCTCTCACACCCTCCTCACCACCAATGACATAAGCTATTTTTATTGGGCTCACATTTAACTTTCAATTTTTGCTTAGCATGAGAAAATAGTTTTTAAACTTAACTAGCGGCTAGATAAAGAAAACTCAAAGTCATAGCCATGCTATAGGGCAGGATAGAACTGTCCTTGTGGGTTTCCAAGGTTATGACTCTTTGTGGTAGTAGAAAGCCGACAGAGTGGCTGGCAGTTGTGAACTACTGAACCGGTAGTGACGTAGTGGTTATGAGTTGAGCTGCTAACCACAATGTCAGCAGTTCTAAACCACCAGCCACTCTGGAAAAGACGAGGCTCTCTACTCCTATAAAGTGTTACAGTCTTAGAAACCCACAGTCACAGTTCTATCCTGTAGAGTTGCTGTGATTCAGAACTGACTTGATTTGTTTTTGTTTTTTTGAAGCTGCTAGAAATTGATTTTGTGAGCTGACACTTTTTCATTTAATAGTTGGCAAAATTAATGATCACTCAACTCACTCACTGCCACTAGGTTGTTTGCAACTCTTAGTGATCCTATAGGACGGGGTAGGACAGGCCTTGTGGGTTTCCAAATCTTTATGGGAGTAGAAAGCATCCTCTTTCTCCAAAAGAACGGCTTGTGATTTTGAACTGCTGACCTTGTAGATAGGCAGAATAATTTTGTACAATAAGAGTATTTTTATTTAATTTTCAAAACCCAAGGCACACAAAAATACTCTTAAGAGCAACTACAAGTCAACGACCGCCCAAAGGCACATGTAAATTCCTCCTCCTGCCATACGACTTTGAGATCAAGCTACAAACTGAAAGTTATCAGTTATCAATCATTTTTTAAAATCCATTTATTAGGGGCTCATACAACTCTTATCACAATCCATACATACATCAATTGTGTAAAGCACATGTGTACATTCATTGCCCTCATCATTCCCAAAACATCTGTTCTCCACCTAAGCCCCTGGCATCAGCTTCTCATTTTTTCCCCTCCCTCCCCGCTTCCCTGTCCCTCATGAATCCTTGTTAATTTATAAATTATTTTGTCATATCTTGCCTTGTCTGCTCTCTCCCCTCACCCACTCTTCTGCTGTCCATCCCCCAGGAAGGAGGTCACATGTAGATTCTTGTACTCGGTTCCCAGCCTTCCAACCCACCCTCCTTTCACCCTCCCAACACCGCCACAGTTATCTATCAATTTTATACCTTGAGTTTTGCATATCTTTATGTACCTTTTATGAACTCAATACTAATGCTCTCAAAAATATCTGAAGGAACTCTACAGGAAATATGAAAAATGAAGAATAAGATTTTCTCAACTAGGTCTGAGATTTTGTTCAATCAAACAGTACACAGATAATGTAAAAATCTGCGATCAGTAAACCTACCTTGCTCAGTTCCACTAAGTAAATCAGTTTAGGGAAACTAAGACCGCTGACACTAAGTTGTATGGTGAATGACATATCTCACCACACACATCGTGTGGAAATCTCAGCTTCTCTTCTCTGGCCAGTTCAGATCCCAGCAGTTCTCTTCTCTCACCCCCAGGCCCCTGGGCCGAAGCCAGCTCATCCCTGACATCTGGAGCTAGATCAACAGGTATTAGATACAAAAATGTAGGACTCTCTACCTAACTCCCTGAACTTCAGATCAACTGGTCTTTGCTAAGTTTAGGTTAAAAAACTCACAGGAACAAATCATAAAACTTACCCCAACATAATTCTAAGATAACAGAGATGAATGTAAAGGGAGCAATTCATAGGGAGGGGTGCCAGTGCAAGTCGTTAACAGCTCACAAGGGCACATTTACCCTAGAAGCAGGAGTGCTCCATAGATTCTCTCTCTGTCAAGAAAAAATGCCTCATGCCAGCACACTTCTTGGGGCAGAAATGCCCCCTTTGCCATCCCCTAGCTACTACTACCACTTAGCATAGCTCTAACAGGTAGCTCTTGTCAGGACAGCTCTCGGTGTTCTCTGCTTAGTCCTGCCTTGCCAGGGCATCTCTCCGCTCTCACCACTATATATGGGTGGCTCCTGTTAATTACTAGTGAGGGCTCCCTAGTCTGACCAATCAAGGATGTAATTCTTGTCATTTACCAGGTAGGTCATTTTAGCCAGACCATGCAAAAGTAAAAACCCACCGGAGTCTCAGAAGGCAGACCAAAAGGCTAAACGGCACTTTGGAAGGTGATTCCATACCCCATGGAGGGCCACAGACCATGGTAATAGCTAAGGGATTTATCCACATGACAGCTATCTAATTTCCTCCCACTTAGGGGCAATGTTGCCTGCATTGAGGATGCATGGTCTAAGAAATAGAAGACAAAATTATAAACTTTCTAATGTGATAAAAATTACTCCCCTACAAGATATGACAAAATACCCATTTATAAACTATCAAGGGCTTATGAGGGAGGGGGGAGCGGGGAGGGAGGGGGAAAATGAGGACCTAATGTCGGGGGTTTAAGTGGAGAGAAAATGTTTTGAGAAACGATGTACAAATGCGCTTTACACAATTGATGTGTGTATGGATTGGGATAACAGTTGTATGAGCCCCTAATAAAATGTTAAAAAAAAAATTACTCCCCTAAATTGTTACACCTACCATATATTATTGCTAGATTAAAAATAACCACAAATATTGAAAGAAGGAATGGGGCAAAAAAATTCAAAGATGTATCTGATATAACAAGTTTGAATAAGCCTGATTCAACTTTCCTACTGGATCACAAGGCAAAATTCAATTCTATGTGTTATATGAGACGCACATCTAATATACAGTGATTCCAAGAAATTGAAACTAAAAGCAAAGGTAATTCAGGCAAGTTTAAATTAAAAAGAAAGCCAAATTCAAGAATTTAGTATCATACAAGGCAAAATTCAGGCAAGTAACAAAATAAATGCTAAATTCAGTGTTTTTTTTAATTCTAAGAGAATACCATATATACTCGAGTATAAACCGACCCAAACTTCAGGTGAGGCACTTAATTTTACCACAAAAACTGCATTCAAAATGTACTGACAATGGATGTATGTGTGGATTGTAATAAGAGTTGTACGAGCCCCCAATAAAATGATCTATATTTTTTAAAAAGTGCTGAAAACCTCAGCTTATACATAAGTATATACAGTAACTCACATGAAAACCTAATAGTTATAAATATCAATAACTACATACTTAATAATATTAATATACTACAAAGAAACTAAAGGAGATAAACATATGTGTAGGGTTTAATTTCCCTCCCTTAGTGCTCAAGTGAACAAAAAGTAAACATGGATATATATAAGCTGAAAAACATAATCAACATATTTGTTTTGAAGTGCTTATGGAACATTAAAAAACTGAAGATACAAATATACTTACCAAGAATACAAATAATATATAAATTATAGGATCACAAAAATATAAAAAAATTAGTATCAAAACTTTACAGCAAAAAAGCTGGTCAAACATTGGGTTAAAAAGGAAATTACAGAAGCAGAATAATGAAAATATTATCAGAACCAATGAGACATCAAAACCATAACAGAATCCAGGAGTTACCAAAAGCAGTGCCATAATGGTAAATTCATCACCTCATATGCTTATATAAATAACAGTAAATGATAAAAAAAATAAATGAGTTAAGCATGTGATTAAAATATTTAGGAAACATACAACATGTGACTCATAATTAATGAAAAATACTAGAAATGGAATTTCAAAGACTATGATATAGAATCATAAATCAGTATCAAATTTTTCTCAAATTATTATGTTTAAACCTTTCATTTTCCTTCTAATTAGTTGCTTTTTACAAGAAATAATGAAAGTTTCAAACATTTAAAAGTACATTTATAGTCTGATTCTAGATACTACATGTTATTCTTTGTTTAAATTGAGGAGTTCGTTTTCAACTGGGTTAAGATTTCCAAATTCCTATAAAGAAAACTAGTTAATAGATACCTGTTGAAGTTCTATTGCACTATGGATCCAGAGTCCAGTCATGAAAAAATACTTACATTTCCAATCTCAAAGTTCTGTCTCATCAGTAGGTAGAGTGAGGCACTAGCGTGTGACCGCATTGTACTGATACTACTGCTACAGTGTCTGAGAAGCCGGAGACATAAATCAGCACACTGCTCAGTCTCTTCTTCGAACAAGAGTTCAGGGAACTGTAGAGGAATAACACCAGCAATGAATTCCCACAGCAAAGGCTCCAGAGACGTGTTACTCCGACTGACCAAAGTCCATCGGCAGCACGTCAATCCCGACTCCGAGAGACCCTCCAGGTCAGATTCGAACTCATCTTAAGAGCAGCTCTTAATTTCAGATCCTTTTCCATATCAAAATGACTAATTCTTTTTTTTAAAATCATTTTATTGGGGGATCATACAGCTCATCACAATCCATACATACATCCATTGGCACAATTGTCATCATCATTCTCAAAACATTTGCTTTCTACTTTGGCCCTTGGTATCAGCTTCTCATTTTCCCCCTCCCTGCCCCTCCCTCCCTCACGAACCCTTGAAATTTATAAATTATTATTTTTTCCATGTCTTAGACTGACCGATGTCTCCCTTCACCCACTTTTCTTTTGTCTGTCCCCCGGGAGGGGGTTATATGTAGATCATTGTGATCGGTTCCCCCTTTCTCTCCCCACCTTCCTCTTCCCCTCCTGGTATTGCTACTCTCATTTTTGGTCCTGAGGGGTTTATCTGTCCTGGATTCCCTGTGTTTCCACCTCTCATCTGTACCAGCATACATGTTCTGGTCTAGCGGGATTTGCAAAGCAGAATTGGGGTCACAGAAGTCGGGGGAAGGAAGCATTAAAGAACTAGAGGAAAGTTGTATGTTTCATCGGTGCTATATTGCACCCTGACTGGCTGTTGTTTGTTGTTGTTTTGTTTTGTTTTGTTTTTGTTTTTTTAATCGTTTTCAAAAGTTCTTCAAGGCAAGAGTGAATTTCTGTGGATTTTACTGGTCCCAGCTTTTAGGTTCTTAAGACACTAACAGGACTGCATATAGAGGCGTTTCAGCATTACTGTGCCAGTATGTGCCCAGCCAGTGGCCAGATACCATTAGAAATGAAAATTACATTTGAAAGCCATTAGACTTCTAGTTGCTTTGAGCATCTTGAGAGAGAGGCTAATCGCACTAGAGAGGCATATGTGATTACATTTTTTTCCTTTTTCTAATTGTTTAAATCGAAATTTTATACCAGTGTCTCAAATTAATTGGGGGTTTGAGGTGGTTAAAGGTTGCTTGGGGAGTTTTCTTTCTTTTTTTTTTGTTTCCTCACTACCCTTCTGTAAGGGGATGCCTAATTGTCTACAGATGGGCTTTGGGTTTCCACTCTGCACACTCTCCCTCGTTCACAATGATAGGATTTTTTGTTCTGGGTTTTTGGCGCCTGATACCTGATTCTATCAACACCTTATGATCACACAGACTAGTGTGCTTCTTCCATGTGGGATTTGTTGCTTCTCAACTGGATGGCTGCTTGTTTATCTTCAAGACCCCAGATGCTGTATCTTTTAAGACCCCAGATGCTATATCTTTTGATAGCCAGGCACCATCAGCCTTCTTCACCACTTTTGCTTATATACCCATTTTGTCTTCAGCAATTGTGTTGGAAAAATGAGCATCATGGAATGGCAGTTTAATAGAACAAAGTGTTCTTGCATTGAGGGAGGACTTGAGTGGAGGCCCAATGCAAAATGACTAATTCTTGTGTGTACGTTTTTGTTTTGTTTTTTTATATGAGAAAGCGGTTAAATGTGAACCAAGTAATTTTTTTTTTAAGTTCAAACAGGAGACCTTAACAGGGAAGCAAAGAAAATTCAACAGGGTCAAGGTATAATTTAACTTTCAATTACAAGTATATTCGCCAATGAATGTGTCAAATGATCTTAAGCAATGTTAATAAAGAAAAGGTGTGATAAGACTGCAGGCATGAAACAACTTACTTTTGAGACCAGGGCTCTCTGTGTAGCAAAGCAGTGTTGTAGATAAACTGCACTTTGGTTACAGGCCATGCTATGTAGTAGCACTTTCAGCACCCCACCAAGGATGCTCTCTTTGGATTCTGTTACAGAAACTGTCTGAAAGTAAAAAATAAATTGATGACAATGGAGCTATTCCTACAGTTTGGTTAGGGAAGTACAGCATATAACAAATAAAGAGAAAGCTGATTCAGGAGGACTTCTAAGAGAAGGAACTCAGCAAGGAAGGCAAAGCGTTGGAGGAAGGACGGGGGATGGATAGGATTTAAATGCTGAAAGGAATCAAAAAGAACAAGAATATAATGGCAAAAAAAGCATAAACTATGTTTTCAGAAAATTAGTATATTACTTTAGACTGACTGGGGCACGTGACTGACATACTGGCTGCAACCATGGGTCAAACATAACAAGGATCGTGAGGATGGAGCAGGAACAGGAGCAGGAGCAGGAGCAGGCAGTGTCTCCTTCTGTCAGACAAAAGGTCACTAGAAATTGGAATCAATTCAACGGCATTAACAATAAGGCTCAGGTGAAAAATAAGTAATGGCTATGGCAACGACTGTCAGCACACCGCTAACTTTTAATAATAGAAACCCTGAGTTTTATCCAGGTACGTAGTAACCCAACTCCATCAAGGGGTACCCAAGAAAGACGTATACTCTGAGCTATGCTCTTAAAGCAATGAGTGTGCTCTGCCCTTATTGTTTTTTTCCTTCCCACCAACTAACATACAGACGTGGTGGTCAAAGCTGAATGCTCATCTTGGGTTATCCAGGATAGTTTTTTGTTTGTTCTCTTACTAATTGATTTTGAAAGCCACTGTGTCTGATTTACATTTTCTGACGATGTAAATCAGAAACACTGCCCAGCCATAGGCCGTCCTCACAGTTACTGCTATGTTTGAGCCCACTGTTGCCTCCACGGCATGAATTCATGCCATTTAGGGTCTCCTTGTTGGGCCGATCCTCGCTTACACCGAGCATGATGGTCTTTTCCAGGGACTGGTCCCTTCTGATAATACGTCCAAAGTACATGAGATGAAGGCCTGCCATTCAACTAACAGTCCTTAAATACAAAGAGCCTTGAAAATCTGAGGATTTCCCTGTTTTTTTCTTTAGGAAACCAAGAATTTTTTTAATATTTAAAAAAATTTTAATGGTAAAACTCAATGAAATGCTTTCAGGTACTTAAAATTTCATAGAAACACACAGATTCCACTAGAGATAAGTATTAGGTAGTGTTGCTGCAATAAAACCCTGACCGTGAACGCAGCAGGAAAGGAGTGAGAGGGGCAGGTGAGACACACATTTAGTCTAACAACCGAGAGACCTGAGTCAGATGGAAAGCCTGGTTTCTCCACTTACAAATTGTGGAATCCAGGGTGATTCTTTAACATCTTTGTGCCTCAGGATTCTTATCTACTGGATGAGGGCATTAACATCTTCAACTATTTCATTAAGGATCAAACAAATCGATATTTGTAAAATGTTTAGGATGGTGTTTAGCACAGGAAAAACTAAGCAGATGCAAGTTCTCACTGTTGGCCATGTCTACAATGACGACTGTAAGGACTACTGGGTGAAATAACCCCACACACAGAACCAAAACACTGCTGTGGTATGCAAAAGACACCAATGTGTAGCTAGACTGCACATGTATGCTGAGTATAGTATGATGCAGAATATCCGATTTATAAATGCACTGGACATTTGGAAATGCAGAATTAGGCCTTAAAGGTAACATCTAGAGTATAATCAGTCTCTTAGAATCAGAAGTTGAAATTGCAATAATAAATATAAAATTATAGTTAGAAGATGCTTGTAACTGCATAATAGTTACATTAGTACACGACTCAATAAAAGCCTTCCCCTATCCCTAACTCATTTTACTAATCTGAACTTTAAAATCCTCTTCTGTGTTACTTACCTGAACAACAACCTCTAAAGTATCCAAAATGATTAGGTTTGCTTCAGTTGCTAGGTTTCCATCAATTAGTGCTTCGTGTTCAATTTCTGCTCTTGACCTAATATAAAATATTATTTATATTTACCTTTTGAAAGAAATCAAAAAGCTCTACAACAAAAAGACTAAAATGTTCAGAAATGAAACACTTGAAGCCATTTTCAATATTTTTGTACACAAAAGTATGAAAGAGAAGGGTTTTATTCTTCTTTTTTCCCACCATGCCAGTATGTATTTTCTTACCCCGTGATGTCCCTACATGCCACTTCAACCACAAACGATCAGCTTGCAAGCACAGAATAGCACATTGTTTTATTTTAAGTGGTACTGACACTAGGTGAATGTTTATTAATAGCTGCTTCAGATAAAGCAATATTCAAAATGTTTAGCATTCATTTTACCATTTTAAGGATTTCTCGATGTTTTTCATCCAAAAATTTTTAATACACCTACTCCTAGGAAATAATTCAACTCTTCAGTGAACTTTTAGAGGAAATCACTCATTAAAAATAAAACAATTTGGTACAATAAAGTGGTTTACTTGAATACTATTGATAATAGCATTAATTAATTTTAAAACTTAAAAAATAATTAAGTTTGATTTGTGGAGACAGTTGACATTTTTGTTTTCATAGCAATCCACTGCTATTGAGTCTTTTCCAACTGATTGCAACCTTACAGCTCAGAAATGAATTGTTCCATAGGGTTTCCTAGGCTTTACATTAATTGAAGCAGACTGCCTCATCTTTCTACCCCAGAGAGGTTGGTGGGTTTGTGCCACCAATCTTGGGATTAGTAGCCCAATGCTTAACTCAGTGCTTAACAGGATAAAGTTGCTTTTAGAAGCAATAGATACAGAATCATATGTAAGTACACCAAACACATAAATCAAAGTGAAAGAATTACAGCACAAATGCTCTCAAAGTTCTTGGAACCAATATTTCTGAATCTTAACTATCACCACTAAAAATAATATTTCATAGATTACATTATAAACCATTTAAGGATAAATAAAACAGGATACAGTTTTCAGAATAAAATTATACTAGAAGATACACGGTGCTCAATATTTAGCATTTAAAACATCCAGTGGGATCTTTTAAAGAAGTATAAAAAATTGGGTTTAAAAAAAATGAATCAGGAAATATCAGTCTTCAGAGAACTCTGTAAAATATAGCAAGATACCCTTAGCAAACAAATCTTACAAATGCAGAACTAAAGCATAGTATATAGCTGCTTTGTAATTTCTAAAGCAAAGCGACCCACAACAATCAGACCAACGAATTTAAATAGAGAAAAGAAGAAAGCATACCGGTCAAAGTTTAAGAAATTTAACACATTAATATTAGATTCAGCATATGACAATTCCAAATTCACTATATGGTACTGAGACTAAAGTTTCTCTCTGCAGGCTCTCAGGGGGCCTACTGTCCTTATGTCCTATGAGCTAATATGACTCAACATTTGTTTATGAGAATTTTCTAAGGTTTGGGCGGAAGATGGTTCTCAGACAGGGTGACCAATCACCCTGGTCTGCCCTCAGATAGGACCAAGGGGTTCTCTAGCACTTGGATGCTTAGTGCTTAAACTAGTAAAGTCCGAGGCAAACCAAGTTTCACAGGCCAGTCAAGTTACTCAAAAGCCAACCTGTGATCACAAGTGTTCAAGAGAGAAAATGCAGCCCAGTGATAAATTTCAGTCCAGGCAATTTTATTCGCAGTCACTAAGGAGTGAGATGGGTTTATTTCTAGTTTCTCTTACATTAAAAGTGCCGATCTTTAGGTTCCCAAACTCAAGTAAGTGCCAAAGGAAGGCATTCTCCAACCATATTCCTCAGTTTGGTTAGGAATGAAGACTTTTGAGCCTGGGTCCTTTGTGTGGCGACGCCTTGAGGAATTTCACCATGTTCGCTTGAAGACACTTCATTCCCTGCACTCCTGCCTTCACTGTATTTTGCCCCGCTTAGCACATGCGATTTCCTTATCAGCTCACAGATCTCTTTGCGACTTCTGTATCTCTTATGCACACTTTCTGTTGTTTTGGAAAGCAGTTTCTTAGTTTGCCTAAGTACTCAAAACAGAGTTTTGCCTTTTCTCTCCATAAGAACAGATTAGTTTTCTAACTTTGTACCCATCCCTAGAAACATTTAGTTCAGTGCTCAGAAAATAGTAGTTGAATACACTTTCTAAGGCAATTTGCTGAGAGAAGTCAGCTGTAAAATGTAATAATTTGCTTTACTCTACAACAATGAAAAACTATTCCTCAAAATCATCCTTAACCTGAAATTGAAAAATTAAGTAAGTGCATTTTGTCTTCTCTAATGCTTTCATGCCTGAAATACATAAAACATGAGGTCATATTACTTGTCAAGTTTCTCTGTGTTTTGGCGCCAATGAGTCATATCCTTTCTCCACCTAAGATTTTCTTGACTTCCAAAGGCACTTCCGGATGGGCTTCTTTCTGCCAAAAATATTTAGAAAACAATTCAAAAATAGTATTCGCATTAAAATATCCATCTCCATACTTAATGACATAAAGAAATACTACATAATGTTGTTAAAATAACACATATTCATTTTATGCTACATTTCAAATAAATATTTCTACTTTTAATTACATTTCCGCACAAACGAAGAGGGAGGGAGAAAGAATGGAACGCATCCTGGCCTACCAACCCCCAAGGACGATATTTCTGCTCAAAGCAGCCAATGCACAGAGACGACCGTAGGGCCAGCCCTACCATGAGACACCACATCCCTCACTGACCCATAGCGCTATAGGGGACAACACTGGACACGCAGTGTGGGCATGGTGCCCAATCTGACCCTACCACACTGGGGCGACACACTAAGAGCATGCAACAGAGCAACTAGGGGAGCAAAACAAAGAAGTCCCTGGTGAATACCAAAAATAGACTTTGGGGCCAGGGCGTGGCAGCCCATCAGTCTCGACTGAAAAACATTCCTAAAGGTCAACAAACTATTTATAGGCTTTTCTTTTTTTGACACTAGTTTGTTGTTGTTATTTTGTTTTGCTCTGTTTAGCTTTTTTTGATTATTATTGTCTCTACATTTATACCTAGATAAGATAGGCAGGATAAACAACCTGGAGCAAGAAACAATGGGACTGATGGTGTGGGGGCCATAGGAGAGGGGGAGGATGGGGAAAGAATGGGGGGGGTCAACCAACCCAGGAACAAGGAAACAACAAGTGATCTAAAATTGATAGTGGCTGAAATAATTAGGGCTAGCAATGAGGGAATTGGAACAAATCTGAAAACTTTGACTCAGGGAATACATAGGCTATAGGAAATAGGGAAGGGCACACAGAAGAGGCACAAATTGACAAGTGGGACATACTAAAGATGAAACACTTGTGTACATCAAAAGAATTCACCAAGAGAGTAATAAGAGACAACACAGAATGGGAAAACATCTTTAGCAATGACACATCAGACAAAAGGCCTTATTACTAAAATTTACAATACTCTGTTAACTTACAACAAGAAAAAAAAAACAATTATCCACTGAGGTGGGCAAAGGATCTGAACAGAAGTTTCTCAAACGCAGAAATCCAAATGGCCAATAAACATATGAGAAAATGTTCCAGATCTCTAGCCATAAGAGACATGCAAATTAAAACAACTATGAGATGCCACCTAATACCCTCAAAGAGAGCCCAATTCAAAAAATCAGAAAGTAACAAGTGTTGGAGGGGCTGTGGAGAGATATGAACTCTCATCCACTGCTGGTGGACCTGTAGGTATGTATAGCCATTATGGAAATCAATTTGGCAATATCTAAAACAGATGAAAATTGAGCTATCATATGACCCAGCAATCCCCCTACTGGGCATATACCCAGAAGAGGCAAGAAACAAACCACAGCCAGACATCTGTGCTCCAATGTTCATTGCAGCACAATTCACAATCGCAAGGAGTTGGAAACAACCCATATTTCCACCAACAGACGAATGGATCAAAAAACTGTGGTACATACACACAATAGAGTATCCACATCCCTAAAAAGGAGTGATGAACGCATAAAGCACATCACTTCGTGGGAAGAACTGGGGGAAATTATGCTAAGTGAAGTAAGCCAAGCATAAAAGGACAAGTACAACATGAGTCTGATGAGGTAAGCTCAAAAACTCCAAAAGGGGCATATGGAAGAAGCTACTGTATACATACGTCCCTAGGGTGAGGTCCAGGTAATATGGCAGGAGCCAGACTAAACTCAGGGATACATATGGTAGCCAACTAAAAAGGAGGAAAAAAAAAAGAAGACATGGGTAGCCAGGGGAACAGGGCACTAACCCACTAACCCACCCAAGGGGAGGATGTTGATTGTGTCTCCACAGGGAAAGAGGGACCAGACTTCAACCTGGTGCTACAAGACAATAACTCAACACACTGTCATGAAGCAGGGGACTAACAGAGAGGCCTGAGGGGCCGGCCCCATTACCAACTAAGCAGACAGCCCCACACCCCCATACCCAAGACTTCATTTCAGATGACAGCACTGAAGCTACAGCTCAAGGAGAGGGACATGTCTGATCAGAGTACACAGGAGCAAACGAGGGGGGAAGAAAAAAGAGTGAAGCACATCCTGGCCCACCAAGCCCGGAGGACAATATTTCTGCTCAGAGCAGCTAATGCACAGAGAGGACCACAGGGCCAGCCCCACCATGAGACACGATGTTCCTCACTGACCCATAGCACCACGGGGGACAACACTGGAGACACAAGGCGGGAATTGTGCCCACCCTGACCCCACCACACCGAGGCGAGACACTGGGAGTATGTAACAGAGCAGCAAGGGGAACACAGCAATGAAGTCCCAGGGAACACCAAAAATAGACTGTGGGACCAGGGTGTGGCGTCCCATCAGACTCGACTGGAAAACACTCGTAAAGGACAACAAATAGACCTCGAACTATTCATAGTTGTGGTTTTTTTGTAGTTGGATTTTGTGGTTGTAACTATTGTTTTATTTTCTATTGTTGCTTTGTTTTGCTTGGTCTTGTGTTTGTGCATATTGTTGTCTCTGCATGTCTATCTGAATGGGATAGGTGGGATAAACAAGCTGGAAGAGAGAACGGGATGATAGTTCCGGGGGTACATGGGAGAGGGAGAAGTGGGGGAAAGGAAGTGGGTGTTATCAAACCCAGGGACAAGGGAACAATAAGTGGCTGAGGAGGGTCTAGGTGGTTTGGTAGGGCTTGATCAAGGGCAATATAAATGAGAGGAATTACTGAAACACAAATAAAGGCTGAATATGATAGTAGGGCAAGAGGAAAGTAAAAGGAAATAGAGGAAAGAACTAGGAGGCAAAGGGCATTTATAGAGCACTAAATACAGGCATGTACATATGAAAATGTATTTATATATGACAATGGGGAAATCTATGTACATATACTTATAGGCTTAGTATGAAGG